TACTACTACTACTTCTACGACGATGACGACTACGCCGACGATGACGACTACTACTACCACTGCCACAGCTGCTGATGCTGCTGCTGCTGCTGCTACTACTACTACTACTACTACTACCACTATTTCTTTTGTTACTACTACTTCTGCTACTACTACTGCTGCTGCGTATTAGTATACCACGATGACGAACAACTGCAGTAGGTTACCTTATAGCAAGTGTTTCATTGCTAAGCTTCTTCGTATTTCCGCGGTTGTTTTCTGGGATAATTGGAGCGTGGCTACTAGCTAGATAGGCGTGCCGATGATGCCGAAAGCCTCCCATCAAAAGGTTTTCCAACGTCCTGTCACAGGGTCCCAAGCCCCACACCTAAAGCCTTTTAAAGTAGTATTCGTATTACTATTACTGTTATTAATATTCTTATTGCTATTCCTATTATTCTTATTATTACACTGCTATTATTGCTACCACTGTTAGCTTTTTCGTACAAGCTACAGAGAAACGGAGAAATCCACAACAAGCTGCAAGAAAGCCAGGTCATAAGCTAGAGGAAAACCGTAAGCTTTACATCAGACTGCAAGAAACCCTGACCCTTCTCCGGAAACCAAAACCCTAAACCCTAAACCCTAAACTCTAATCCCTAAACCCTAATCCCTAAACCCTAAACCCTAAACCCTAAACCCTAAACCCTAACATTCTCCGGCCAGGCCGAAGCAGCGGCTTTCATCCTCAGGGACCTTCTCATCCCTCGTGTGCCTGGGCAGCACAGGAGGGTTCCTTTAAGGGTTCCTGGAGGGGTCCCTTTAAGGGTCTTTAAGGGTTCCTTTCAGGGTGTTTTAGGGTTCCTTTAGGGGGACCTTTAAGAGTTTCTTGAGGGGTTCCTGTCACCCGGATCATTGCATTGACACCCGTGGTTTGGGTGGTCCAGTTCTGTTCCGGCGTGAACCGTGTAAGCAACTTGCCCCCCAAAACATGCAGATCATGACTGCGTGGGGAAGGCGGGGTGAGCAATAGGCCGTAAGGCATTCAAGCTTCAACACTCAACGAGACCATACCATACAATAAATGCAAAAGGAATTAATACATGGTGAGTGAGTGAATGAGTGAGTGAGTGAGAGTGGGTGGGTGACAGAGTTAGTAAAAGAATGAGGGAAGAAATGAATGAATGGACACATAAGCAAACATATGCCTGCCAGCGTCTTCCCACCCAGCATTTTGCCACCATTGGATGCCCGAAGCCTTCAGCCCCAAAACCCCATGTGCCATGTAGCCCTGAACTGTCGATCATCTTCTATATCTCAGATACCCCCTAAGCCCTAAACCCTAAACCCCATTTCTCAGATGAACAAAGCGGAGCGATGTTCGCTCCCAACCGTCCTCAAGGACCCAGGGCTAGGGTTATGGGTTTAGACTCGGGCTTTAGGGCTTGGCGCATGTTTAGAAACAGGTTCCGCGGTTTGGGCTTCGGGGTTTTCGGGTTTCAGGGTTTCGGGCTTTGGGTTTCAGGGTCGGGCGTTTGGGTTCTAGGCTTTGCGGGAGGTGCAGGGTTCTAGCAGTGTGTTGCAGTCATCAAGAACTGAGCTGACCGTACATCCAATGCAATGACAGATCTTGCACTCTGCGTGGAAGCTGCTTGTCAGCTAGGTCCTGCTACTACTACTACTACTACT